CAAGATTTTGATAGTTTGGGAGAAACTTCACATCTACAAGCATTTTGACAACGTTTGAGATCTTCCAGACAAAAGCTTACATCATTTCTCTAAATTGTGTCAATTTGATTAATTTAGAAATACTTATGCTAATAATTTGTTGAGACATTTGAATTTTTATCAATCTTATGCTTGCTATAACTTTGAATACAATTCTATTTATTTCAAGTTCAATTTATTTGAGATTCAATTTATTTTCGAAAATTCAATTTATTCTTTTATTGAATTAACCTAATTTTGAAATGAGTTAAAGATTTCTGAATATCACTTTATGTTAATACCTTTTAAAAGCATGGAATGTAAAGTAAGCAAATCATCACCATCTTAAAGCCATGAACAACAAGATTGTTACACGAGATACAACCAATAACAAGGTCGAATTCGACAACTCTACTCATCAATTGCTCCAACCGATCACCATTCAGTTCTTGCACATTTGTTTTCAAAGATATACTAAGACAGTAGAAGGTGACCTCTGCAGCGCTGATTCCAGCAAAAAGAAACAAGACATTGATATCACTGGGAAACATGTCTCTATACGGATCCTTGTGTATGGTTTTTAAGGAAAACTAGAAGCATTTCCACCTCATCAGGTTCAAGTGGAGCAACTTTATTCCTTCCAACCCATAATAGATTCCATTTTCAGCACTCATCAAGAACATACTTCTAGACACTTGAAGGGGGCTCTTTGTCATAAGCTTCAGGAACCTTAAAGATCCTTTCTGTCAATTTGGCACTTCCTGTACATGTTTGTAAACAGTTCAACTTTGTTCTTAGATTCCAAGAAAGCCATCATTTCTTTGTCAATGGAAAAGTATCAGCACATGGAGGAAGCAGAATAAGAGAAGATCTGTTCTTAATTGGCAGAATTATGAATATAGCTTTTTTTAGTATAGTAGCATGAAAATGCTTCGAATCTACAAAATCTGGCTCTACATCTAATAAGTACTGTGACATCCCAGTCTAATCATTGAATTTGAAAGATGAATGTGCTCATAACATCTTCTGGAAGTGTTCTTTGAGTTATCTGATCTGGTTTGGTAGAACCAATCATTGAATTTGAAAGATGAATGTGCTCATAGCATCTTCTGGAAGTGTTCTTTGAGTTATCTAATCTGGTTTGGCAAAACCAATCATTGGATTTAAAAGATGAATTTGCTCATAGTAAAAATAAAGAGACCCAATAGCATCTTCTGGAAGTGTTCTTTGAGTTATCTGATCTGGTTTGGTAGGAACTATAGAACCAATCATTGGAATTAAAAGATGAACTTCATGATCATTTTCATTAAGAAGCTTCTTTTCAAGCTTCCTCTGCTTCTTCCTTTTCCACAAATCATATCCCAAGTTTCGCCTTTGCTTGTAATTGGGATCATTGCATAATGGCTTCCCATCTTTTACCGGAAGAAATGTGTCAGCAGCCTTAGCCATTTGAGCAGAACATATAAAATTTGCAATGGATGAATCTGGACAACATATCTCCATGGCTATTGAAGTTTCAGCCTCTGAGAATCCCATTTTTGTCAAGTATAACAGTTTATTCTCCTCATCAGAATCAGAATTCAAGATTTCTTGGTATTAAAAAAACTATCGATATCTATGAAATCATCTTGAAAGGACATTTCATAATCAGATGAGTTGTTATCAGAATCAACATGTCACATGAAGGCAAGCTTTTCAAGAGCCTATACTATTGAGTTTTATTCTCAATAGGTTTTGTGACATTATATCTACATCTACATTTGTCAAAGATGATAGATTCTCTGATTTGAAGAAGAAAGATTTATTAGGTTTCTACAACTGAAGAAATACTCAGTTCACCAATATGAAATCAAATAACTTAACAATCATGCATCATATTTAGGCATTTGCAAAAATAGGTGCATTTTCATTCATTCTCATCCATGTTGAATTCTGATAGGAATTTCAAAGATTTTAACAAAGATTTAAATTCATTATTCAAGGAATCAATAGTGTCAGTTCGAGTTCATAATGAGAAGAACTCATCTGAATAAGGATGAAGAAGTTCATAATGAGAAGAATTTGTTCAACCTTTTGATCAAATCCATCACTTGATGGATCAACTTTTCCAGTTCGAGTTCATAATGAGAAGAACTCATCTGAAGAAGGATGAAGAAGTTCATAATGAGAAGAATTTGTTCAACCTTTTGATCAAATCTATCACTTGATAGATTATCTTTTCCAGTTCGAGTTCATAATGAGAAGAACTCATCTGAAGAAGGATGAAGAAGTTCATAATGAGAAGAATTTATTCAACCTTTTGATCTAATCCATCACTTGATGGATCAACTTTTCCAGTTCGAGTTCATAATGAGAAGAACTCATCTGAAGAAGGATGAAGAAGTTCATAATGAGAAGAATTTATTCAACCTTTTGATCAAATCTATCACTTGATAGATTATCTTTTCCAGTTCGAGTTCATAATGAGAAGAACTTATCTGAAGAAATAGATGAAGAAGTTCATAATGAGAAGAATTTGTTCAACCTTCTGCTCAAACCTATCACTTGATAGATTATCTTTTCTAGTTCGAGTTCATAATGAGAAGAACCCATCTGAAGAAGGAAGAAGAAGTTCATAATGAGAAGAATTTGTTCAGCTTTTTGCTCAAATCCATTACTTGATGGGTCAGTTTTTCCAGAGAAGAACTTATTCAACCTTTTGAATGACTCTATCACAGAAAGAAAAAGGTCAACATCATCCCCAGCGGAAAGTTCATAATGAGAAGAACTCACCTGACAGAGAGAGAAGAATTTATTCAACCTCTCCATACTAATCAAGTGAAATCAAATGAAAAAAACTTATCATCTTTTCGTCTTTGCTCTATTCTTATTAAGAATAAGCAAAGAGGGGCAGCTGAAGATATTCATTTTTTTCATTTTTATTTTATTTATATTATTATTATTATAATTATTATTATTATAATTATAATTATAATTATTATTATTATTAATATATTATTTAATATTACAAGCACAAATGGAAGCCCAATTACAAACAGTGGCACAGATCCAAAATCCTACAGTAAACCCTAAACCCAATTTAGGGTTTGTATCATCCAGCTGCCGCCGCTCAAGCTTCAGCCGTTGGATCTGGTTTGATCCAACGGTCCACAGTTTGCCAGAGGAAACCCTAGGGTATCAATACCCTAGGGACACGTCCCAGCGCCGCCGTAGATTCCAGAAGACCACGCGGCGCTGCTTCAGTCTCGCCGCCACTCCAGCCGCACACGTCTTTCCCAAATGGTGAGTCACCACTAGAAGTCCGGTGACTCACCGAAGAACCCCTTTCGGACCGGTCTGAGATGAACACCGGTGATGGCTATAAAGCCATCACCCCATCTGCGAGCAAGAAAAGGAGAACAACAGAGAGAGATACAGAGAAACAAGATACTAAAAAAAAATATACCAACGATCTCAACAACAACTCAGCAAAGAAACAGAAAAGAAAGAAAAGAAAAAGAAAGAAGAGAAACTTACTGTCATCGGAGAACCCCAACTGTCGCCGGATACAACAAAAACCGAAGGTACTTTTGTAGATTTGCTCAGATTATGAGCTTTTTAAGGAAAGAGAGCACCGGAAACGTCCTTAGGACGTTCCGATCTATTTAATGGTGTAAAAATAAAATTTTCCGGCCACCGGATGCGGTGGCCGGCGGTGACAGTCACGGCGGCACACGGTTGCCGTCCGGTGACCGGCTTCCCTCCGATGAGGGAAGCTAGAGAGAGGGCAGAGAGAAATTTGTTCTCTCTCTGTTAGAGAGAGAACAGAAATAAGGAAATGAGAAGCTGGCCCATAGAGCCAGCCGGTTTAGGTTATAAATACCCTCTCCCGAACGACGTCATTTTGGGGAGGGTATTTCTGTAATTTCACAAAGGGTAAACCCCGTCCGAAGCCATTCCAATTTGTAAACTTTACATTTTAGTCACTAAATTAAATTTATAATCCTTTTAATTCAGATCTTTAATTTTAATTTCATTTATTTTAGTCCTTTATATTAAAATAATATATTTAGGATAAATAACAGATTTAATCCCTTAATTTTAATAAATAATATTTTAATCCCTAGTTTATACTTTTAATTTATTTTAATCTTATATTCGAATTTTAAATAAGTTTATTTTAGTCACTAAATTATTAAATAAGAAAATAACATGTTTAATCCCTGTAATTTTGATTAATTATGAATTAGGTTTTTAATTTTAATTTTACTATAATTTAGTCATTTATTTTAAATTTTTTTTATTTTATTGCTTTTAAATATATAGCTTTAATTATACTTTTATTTTAATTTTATTTGTTTATATATTTAAATATTTTTTATTATGTAGTCATAAATATATATAATAAATAATAATTAATTTTTTTAAATAAATTATTTTAATATTTATTTTTCAATATCGAAGAAAATGACAGTCTTAATACAACTGGATGTCCTATTCTGGTATTTTAAAATTTAATAATTAATTTTTTAAAATATTATTTAATTTAAATTAATATTTATCAATATCAAAGAAAAGAGCTGTCTTAAGGCACCTAGAAGTCTTTTTCTGATATTTTAAATATTTTTTATAAATTTTGAAATAATAGGATTATAAATTAAATATATTTTGAATTTTTAATATTTTTAATAATAGAGACAATTTATAATTAAAAAGTATTAATTTTGGGCGTTGTAGGGGTGCTAATCCTTCCCTAAACGTAACCAACAACGAATCCCTCTTTATTATTAAAAAAAATGAATTTTTGTTTATAAACGCAGATCAGTTCATTTTTTAATTGATGTTTTCTCAAAACTCTTTTAGAAAATAATTTTTAGGTATTCGACCTACCTGACCCAAAAGGCCGATGGCGACTCCCAAATTATTTTCAAAACCATTTATTCACGTCAATTTTCCCGCCAAATAAATATTTCACGTCCGGACAAAAACCTATTACGACATAGGAAATGGCGGATTCCTCCGTGTTGGGATGGATTTTATGCTTGGTGATCTCGCTGGTCACGCTATGCGGTGTCATATCGGAAAGAAGGAAACGGAGGGGGATCTCCGTGACGAGGTCTGATTCCGTGAACGGTGTCGTAACCAGTAACGGAGAATGCGGATCCACTGACGGCAGCCACGCTGATGTCATCATCGTTGGAGCTGGCGTTGCCGGTTCCGCCCTGGCTCACACTCTCGGCAAGGTATTTTTTCTTATTCTTTTCAATTTTCCATGTCCCTCGCCTCTCTACTTTCTTTGCATTTCTTAGTAACCAATCGGGAACTAGTTGTTGGAACAAAAAGTAAAAATAAAAACCAGTTACTAGTTATGAGATTTCTTCATTTCTCTATTTTTTCCTTTTTCTTTATAAAAAAATAAGTATAAGTGATTTCTCCCTCTCCGCCCTTTATGCCATGCTCGTACTTTCTCGGATCTTCTGCTGTTTAAAGTGCTATACATCTTTTTTTTTCCTTTTATTCATTTTTCTTTATATAATTGTACAGTTTTTTTTTTGGCTATTTATTTTATTTTTCCAAATTTGTTAATTTCGAATGTGTTGCGACTTCTCAAATGTGCATACTAGTTTAGCCGCCATAGATTCTGGGATTAATTTATGTGAATTACAATTATAAATCAAAAGTTTTTACCGAAATGGAATTGAAGATAACGACAGTCTGTTGCTATTAGCAGTTTTGTAGACCTCAAGTTCTACATAATTACTATTGACTGCCGATTTAAAATACCCTAGTGCACTAGCTGTCACGAATGATTGTCTAGCACAAAAGACAATTTTTTGTTGTTGTTTTAAACTAATACTCTGTATTTGTTGTCTTTTTTAACATCCCTGTACTTGACTGGATGTTGATTAATCTGTGTTACTTGGTATCCGTATGCATTTGTTGGATAATAGTATGTATCTGATAGGAGTATATTATTTTTTTCCTTCTAAAATTTTTCATATAATTTAAGGATCCTTGGACATATCTCCATGTCTAAATATTTGTTAGACATGGTTATTCTAATAATAATGAAGAATCGAGTCAGGTTAAATTTAGCCATAAAATATTAGCCCCTTACAGATTAAGACATTCAGTCAAGTTATACTGTATCTGTTTTCTCCATGCCCGTTCGTTGTTGTGATTTCCACTTTTTGTAGATTATACCCTAAGTGAAGGAAGAAGGAAGTATATTAATCGCATAGTGCTAGTATATAATATACAGGCCAAATCATTATTTAATATTCTCTATGACTAGTTGTTTGTTCAGATGTCCAATTTTTGTAGATTTCATCCTACCTAACCGAAGGAAGAAGGAAACACATAAACCACATAGCTCTATTGTTTAATATAAAAGCTAAATCATTATTTAACCCAAAGTTATTTGAAATGTAAATTGATTACGTGGTACAACATGTAGGATGGACGTCGAGTTCACGTGATTGAAAGGGTCTTGAGTGAGCCTGACCGAATAGTTGGGGAATTGCTACAACCAGGAGGCTATCTCAAGTTATTGGAGTTGGGACTTGACGGTATATGTTTGATATTTTATTTATTAATTTTCCTTGATTACTTTAACACAACAGATTTTTTATAGAACACATAACGGAATTAATTCTCCGAGCCATCTGTATTTTTCTAATTGCAGATTGTGTGGAGGAAATTGATGCTCAGCAGATATTTGGTTATGCTCTTTTCAAGGATGGGAAACATACCCGACTTTCTTACCCATTAGAAAAGTTCCACTCAGATGTTTCAGGTAGGAGCTTTCACAATGGACGTTTCATTCAGAGGATGCGGGAGAAATCAGCTTCCCTTCCAAAGTACATCTTTCCCCCTTTTCAGATATCAATGAGATGATTATTTGTTATGTTTCTCACATTCATTTCTCAAACAGTGAGCTATGTTCATACTTCAAAATTATGAAAATATTCAACTGTCTAATGTAGCATTGTGGTAACAAATAGTAATTCGTTGTTAAGGTATTTATGCCTTCTTCTCCCCATTGGTTTACCAGTGTACATTTAGAGCAAGGGACAGTTACTTCTCTACTTGAAGAGAAAGGGATAATCAGAGGAGTGCAGTACAAAACTAAAGATGGTAGCATATTGACTGCATTTGCACCTTTAACCATTGTATGTGATGGCTGTTTTTCGAACTTGCGTCGCTCCCTTTGCAACCCTAAGGTGATTTGTTCCATTCATATTTCTCTTCTTATTTCTTTTTTTTTTCTTCCAGTTGTTTTTTAAGTTAAACCAATAATTTTAGAAACTAATATGGCCTCAATTACACTCTGTAGGTAGATGTACCTTCTTATTTTGTGGGATTGGTCCTTGAGAACTGTCACCTTCCATACTCAAATCATGGGCATGTTATACTAGCAGATCCTTCCCCCATTTTGTTCTATCCAATCAGCAGCACAGAGGTTCGCTGTCTGGTTGATGTACCTGGTCGGAGGGTTCCTTCTATTGCAAATGGTGAGATGGCAAACTATCTTAAAACTGTCGTGGCTCCTCAGGTATTTAAAATCTCTCGGGTCTGCAGGTTTAAATTTCTTGTAGTGTTGTTATCTTTGCTCATGAATAGTCATGATATCTAAATTCATATTTAAGGATCTCTTGGATTGTCAATGTGCTGCATTTCTAACAGGTTCCCCCAGAAATCTGTGATCCATTTGTAGCAGCTGTCAATAAGGGAAATATTAGGACAATGCCAAACAGGAGCATGCCCGCTGCTCCTCATCCCACACCTGGAGCCCTATTGATGGGAGACGCATTCAACATGCGGCATCCATTAACCGGTGGAGGAATGACTGTTGCTTTATCCGATATTGTTGTCCTCCGTAATCTACTAAGGCCTCTACGTGACCTCAATGATGCACCTACCCTTTGCAAATATCTTGAATCCTTTTACACCTTGCGGAAGGTGAACTATATATATTTGATATGTTGAGATTCCATAACCGCATTGTCAAAATATTGAATTCAAAATTTAACTAAACTCAACTCGGTGAAACTGATTTGAGTTTCATGTTTTGTAGCCTGTGGCATCGACAATCAATACCTTAGCAGGCGCCTTGTACAAGGTATTCTCTGCTTCCCCTGATCAAGCAAGCAACGAAATGCGACAAGCTTGCTTCGATTATCTAAGCCTCGGTGGTGTATTCTCAACTGGACCTATCGCCTTGCTGTCTGGTTTAAACCCACGCCCCTTGAGTTTGGTTCTACATTTTTTTGCAGTGGCAATATACGGCGTTGGTCGTTTACTATTGCCGTTCCCTTCACCTAAGAGAATCTGGATTGGAGCTAGATTGATCTCAGTGTGTATCCCTATCCGAACCCTCCCATTTCCTTTAATTTCGCCTTTTGACATTACAGATTATTTACTTAGCTATGGAGTGACGTAATGTATGGTGTTTTTGCAGGGAGCATCAGGAATCATCTTCCCCATTATCAAAGCGGAAGGAGTTAGGCAAATGTTTTTCCCGGCGACAATTCCTGCATATTATAGAGCTCCTTATGTTGTTAAGTGAGGCAACAATTTAGCAATGACCGAGATAAACTAGTTTGCAACTGTAAGTTCATTCTTTAGGCTTTTCATAAGTTTTACTTTTTTCCTTTCAAAAAAGGTTGATTGAAGTGAAATAATGTTTTCCAGGAATGGTGGAATCAGTCTTTGCAGGAGTAAAACATTAGTGGTTTCCACTATAATTTGTTGTAGTTTTATTATGCGTGCTTATACATTAAACTACTATGGGTTGAAGCAGATTTTGTATCTTTCAAGATGAAATAATCACGCACATTTTTTTAAAAAAAAATTCAAAACATTAATAGAGTATAATAAAATAAAAATAGCATGAATATGCTACAAGTAGATGAAGTAAATAATTATTTTTATGAATATGAGGTAATCTATATATAACTTCAAAACTTTTTACCTCTATTTCAGTTCTTGGAACTTGGTGCTGCTTATTGAATAGATCATCCGCTAAATGGAGTTGAAGTTTGGGCAAACAGCTGATCCATAAATGAAATTACCATTTTAATCCATACATTGAAGTGGGAATGATTTCAATTTGTTTAATGTAAGCACAAGAGAGACACTGCTTTTAAAGGGTGGTATAGATTCCTTGTCCAAAACACATAATGGATCTTCCGGTAGGAATCCCTGCATAACCTATAGAAAAGAGAAGCAGAGTATAAATTAGTGTATTCAATGATGAGATGAAGGCACGCAAGTTTAATTACTGATAACTCCGATCCGATAGTCTTAGAAAAACGAATGACAACCAGCCTTTCCAACATTAGATTTAAGAATGTCCGGGTCAGAGGCCACCCAATTGACTTTAGCAGAGGTATGGCATAACAGTTGTACCATGGACCAGTAAACTTTAAGAGATAAAAGCTATCACCCCATACTGAAACGTCAAACTATAACATCTGCATAGTTTCACATACACGAAACAGGAGAAGCTCCATTTTTTCTCTTTGCAATTATTCTTCCAGTTTCAAAGATAACTGACATAATAAAGTTTGCTTTTGTTTTAGTGAAGAGAATTCACTTGTTCCATAAACGCCATGTTTTTGTTAACAATCAGACCCGGCATTCTAGCCATGCATACGGACGGCGACCGTCCCAAGAAGGAATCACGGGCATAATATATTTTGAGTTTCACATATACAAAAGAGAAGAGAAGCTACATTTTTTTTCTTTGCAATTAATTCATAGAAGTGTCGAGGAACCAGAATCAAACACTAGCGCTATGAAAAAAGCTACGTTGTTAATAAACCGTATCCATCATGCTTTCTATAGCCAACTGTTGGGGCCACGCCTCTACTTCATCCAAGGTGGGAAACAAGTCTAGTTCTCCCGCTGCCCTGAGACCAGTCCCAAATCCCAATCGTTTGCGCTTACTTTCACCGTTCCCAAAATAACCTTTTCTTCATGAAACCACGCTTTAATTCCTTGTTAGTGCGGTCATTAGAGTTAGGTACGAACACAAGATTTTATATTAAAGACGGCACTAGCAAGGAATCAAAGTGTAGTTTCATTTCACACCATGCATGAAGTAGATGAGTGATCCCCACAGTCGGCTATAGAAAGGATGATGGAGCTTTTGTCATAGTGGTAGTGTTTGGCTCCTTGAAGACTTCCATGAATTAATTGCAAAGAAAAAATGGAGCTTACCTTCTCTTTTATGTATGTGTGCACTGTGCAGAGTTCAAAGTTGAAACTGGTCATATAGTAATATAAAAGCAGGGAGTGGGAGATTGAAGTTTTGTTCCAAGTTTGGCACGTATTGTGTGAAGCAAACAAAGTAGTGGATTTGGTGCTTCATGCTTTTATTCATCTCATCAGTTTTTGCATCCCATCAGCGTCAGCCTGGTTTCTTGTTCCCTTCCTCTTTTTGCTATTCCTCCCGGTTTGAATATAAACTTCATAATTAGTCACTCAGTAATTTCGTTTTGTTCTCTAAATTGCGGAAAGCTTCAATTCTAGCAACAATTTTTTCAAATTTATTTTTTAATCCCCAGGTTGTTAATGTCGTTATGATCTATTGTTATCAACTTATCATCCCCTTTTACCTGAAAACCCTAAATCATTTTTACACATCAACAGAAAAACGCCATGTCATTTCAATGTTTTAGATCTAACGATCCCATGACTAAAACAAACAAATTTGAAAAGTTTAGTTTTATCATGAAATCTTTTAAAGTTTGATGGCAAAAGTGAAAATAATCCTAAAATTCACTGATTAATAGTGTTGTTTATACTATTAATTAAAACATAAACAATGTAAATAATCAATGGGTTTTTTTAAAAATATTTATTACATAATTGGATTAAGGGCAATATTTATTTATTTTAAAATATTAAGAAGGGACAGTCTTAAGACAATTAGATGTCCTTTTCTGATATTTTAAAATAAATAAATATCCCATTAGAAAAACCTAAAAAAAATCGATTGCATTTAAAATAAATTAATTTTGAAGAGAAAAGGAAATATTCACTATTTTAAACTTATCGAGATAATTTGTCTAATTTTATTAGGGATTAAGTCTCGGTATTTTTAAATAATTGAATATCCCTTATCTTTTTTAATAATATAATTAGGATTAATGAGTTTAATTTTTTTCCTTCGGTAGAATAAATAATATTTTAATATTAAATTCTTAGAATTTTTTTTTATATTTCTTTTATTTCAGTTGGAAAGATAAATATTTGTCCTAAAGTATTTTAGGGAGTATTTTCTCTTCAATTGGAAATATGGAAATATTTTCTATTTTTCTTTAGAATTTTTGTTCTATAATATTGTATCGTTGAATTCGGAATAATAGAATCGTGATTTAAGTATATATTTGAATTCTCATATTTCTACTAATTAAAGACAATATATAATCGATAGGTACCAACTTTGGGCGTTGTGGGGGTGCTCATCCTTCCCCACACGTAACCGAACCCTCAACCTATTTTTTATTTCAAAAAGAATGAATCTCTGGTTATACGTAGACTGGTAAATCTTTTAAAATGATGTTTTCTTAAAAACTTTTTTAAAAGAAAATTTTTAGGTATTTGACTTACCTAATTCAAAAGGTCGATAGCGACTCCAAAACATTCCAAAATCCTTTTCAAAGAAAACCCCAAGTCGTACTAAATTTCCCCCCGCTCCCGGGCGGAAATCGATTACGACAGCTTGGCGACTCCGCTGGGTATACTTAGAGGGTCAAGCCTTAAATCGATTATATATTGTTTCTATAGTTAGAAATTGATAATTTGGTTATATTTAATTTATGATTCCTTTCAATTGTTATTTAATATCTTTGTATACTAATGTGTGCATTTGAGTGATTTTCAGATATTAAAGTATTGGATTCACGTTAGTTCCTTTTTTTGTGTGGATGTTTTTCAAAGGTTTGAGAATTTCTCCTCACACACGACACTTGCAGTGCATAACATAAGCTCTATACTCGAGCTATTCCTTTTAAGTGGGAGTGAAAGCGATGTATTCTTGAGAATTTATTCTCCGTGTCAGACATAGCAAGTAGCTTTCGGGGTTCATATGCCCTATGTCTTCGTGAGGATTTATTCTCCGTGTCAGGCATAGGGAAATGTGCCCCTCAAATTGAACTCGATCCGCTTAAGCCTATAATGGGTGAAGATCGAGGGTTTGTCAGCCCAAGGGGCACCAAATATCAAGGACAATTTGAGTACCTTTTCCTCATAGAGCTGAAACCATACATATAGTGAACCGCGGAACAGTCACCGTAGGTATTGTCATATCGAACCTCTGTTCGTCAGTAGGTACCCAAATTAAGTGTACACAAAGGAGGAGTGTTTCTGAACCTTTACCTTTTTGCTTTATGTTTGTAGAATATATTTGTTTTCTTTTCGAATAAAAGTATGCGAATTAGATACCATGCGGTTAGGATTATTTTTTTAGAAAAATATTGTGGGTAGAGAGCATTCCAGGTAGGAATGTTATTTAATTAAAGCATGTTCGGGTAGATATCATGACTGGGTAGATGTTTTATTCACCTTTGAATAACATTTTTATCTGTATTGATTATCTTACTTGTACTAACCAATTTCTTTTCTTTTGTTTGTGTATACTAACTTATTTCTTTTGTTTGTGTCATTTTTTATCTACATTTGCATTGCATTGCATCACCATAACATAATGCAAAAGTGTTGATTCACAAGGGGATACTCAAGTGGAAATTTTGCACAAGAAGAGATAAAAATTTTCAATAAAGCAGTTGCATACATAGACATACGCCGAGGGATAAGAGAAGTCCAAGAATACCAGAATGAGACTTGTTCGAAGGTCGTGCAATAATTGAGATTGGAAAACTGATCCTTTGATCCAAGAAGTAATCCAACAGTAGATTTTTATCTATGATCATTTTCATAACTAGCCTTCAAGGAGCGATATACTGACTTCAGCACCGTCGAGGCATTAACGGAGTTAGTTTACATAGCATTGAGGGGCATCATTTTCAAGGAAGAAGATCCAAGATGAAGCAGTGATCAACTTCAGACTCAACCATCTAAGCAAATGCATGTCTGTAAAGTAGACTGTCTTGTAATGTGAAAGTTTTTATCACTGGTGAAAATTGTTCTACGATATCCATCGATGAGATCAATATTTTTGCATATGCATTTGCATATTTGCATTTGCATATGCATTTGCATATTTGCATTTGCATTTACCTTTACACCTAATTTGTTGTTATATGTCCGAACTTGTTTTTTTCTTTCTAGCACCATATAGTCACATACGGAAAAAGGTGTTGATTCTGAGTAGTCACCAATTAAAAGGTTTTCATAATGGACAAGTGGTTTCATGATCAAGTAGGCCACGATACAAATAGGAAATGGCATCTGAACAAGTTACGAGAAGAATAAAGCGTCGTGCGTCCGAAGAAGAGCAAAGTGAACTGCAACAAATGAGGGAACAAATGTCCAAGATGATGGATAGAATAATTATTCTGGCCAAAGGAAAAGAGGATTCTGTGCAAAAAGAGAGAGAACTCGACAAAAATAAAAACTGTAATACAAGAGGCTACTTGTGAACAAAATGACCCAAGTAAACTTAAGGAGTCTCGTACAATCATTTCCCGCATCAACAAGTTATCAGGAGGAATAAAAGAAACAGCGATAATTGTAAATTTTCAAGGAAATATGGAGGAAGAAAAAACACATAATCACTTCAAATAGGAGACACACCTCATTGATGACCGAAAGATAAAAGGTAGTGATCTTGACTTTGATCTAGCTCCTATCTCATACAGAGATTTATACAAAAAGCTGTTAGAAGCACGAGAAGTGACCCCACAGTATGTGAAGCCTTTGCAACCTCCATATCCGGAGTGGTACAATGCCAATGCCAACTGTGAATATCACGCAGGAGCTCAAAGAAATTATATCGACACCTGTGTTGCCTTCAAACGTCGAGTTTATTGCCTGAGAGGAAAGGTCATCTTGGTTCAATAACCGAACATCTGGTTGAAGTGAAGCCAATAGAGTCCAAGGAAAAAAACATCAGTGAGAATAGCCAAAATAAAGAGCATTTGCTAAAATACGAAGCTCAAATACATCAGCTACAAAACGAAAATGACATTCTGAACAAAGAATTAGA